CCTGGAGGGGTCCAAGGGCAGGTTGGATGGGGCTTGGAGCAGCCTGGGCTGGTGGGAGGTGTCCCTGCCCATGGAGCTTTGAAGGTCCCATCAACCCAAACCCTTCTGGGACTCCATGGATGGGACTTGGAGCCACCTGGTCTAGTTTGAGGTGTCCCTGCCCATGGACCTTGGAAGGTCCTTCCCACCCAAACCCCTCCATGACTCAGATCCAGCAGAACTGAACCATCTGACCAAGGCCCACCTGGTGGTCCCGAGGTGTCGCTGCCCCACATTGGGCCCCCAGGAAGTCCCAGGTCCCCTTTTTTCCCCCCCCACCCCCAGGATCTCTACGTGTACATCTCGGAGCACGAGCACTTCACGGATTTCAACCTCAGCTCTGCCCTGTTCTGGGAGAAGAGGGACCTGGTCTATGGAGACTGGACCAGTGGGGACAACTCTGATGGCTGCTACGAGCACTACGGGGAGGTGGACATCTCCCAGGTGGGCTTCCTTGGGGTTTGGGAGGAGGTGGGATCAGCCAGGAGGTTGGTGGAACCTCCCCGAGCTTCATTCCTCCGTGGGGTTGTGTTGCAGAGTGTCCAGCAGAACGGGTCCATCTACATCCATGTCTACTTCACCAAGAGTGGTTTCCACCCTGACCCCAGGCAGAAGAACCTCTACAGGCGCTTGGCCACGGTCCACACGTCCAGAAGTAGGAGCTTGGGGTGGGGGGGGTGAGGGGAAGGGACAACCCCAACCCCCGCGCCTGGGTCAAGGGGAGATTCTGGAGGAGTTAGGTCCAGCTCTGGGTTTGGGAAGGGGAGAATCATGGGATGGTTTGGGTTGGAAGGACCTTCAAGATCTTGAAGATCATCTAGATCCAACCTCCTTGCGTGGGCAGGGATGTGTCCCTGTAGATGTGGGGGCTCAGACACCATCTGTGGAGACCTAGAAGGGATTGGGGTGATGGGACCTTCCAAGGTCCATGGGCAGGGACACCTCAAACTAGACCAGGTTGCTCCAGGGTCATGTTGGGGTTGAGAAGAGGGAGGAGTTCCCATCTTTGGGTCTTCTTTAAGATCCAGATGTTCTATCTGAGGTGTTTCCCTCCCACCATGATCCCAAACATTTGGCTGTGGATCCTCTTGGTTGTTCCCAAACGACAACGAGAAGATCTGTGGGACAACCTGGATTCATGAGGAGGAGACTCCTTGAGTGTGAGGGTGGGGAGACCCTGGGACAGGTTGTCCTGAGAAGCTGTGGAAGCTCCATCCCTGGAGGGGTCCAAGGGCAGGTTGGATGGGGCTTGGAGCAACCTGGGCAGGTGGGAGGTGTCCCTGCCCATGGACCTTTGAAGGTCCCATCACCCCAAACCCTTTTGGGACTCCATGGATGGGGTTTGGAGCCACTTGGTCTAGTTTGAGGTGTCCCTGCCCATGGACCTTGGAAGGTCCCATCACCCCAAACCCTTTTGGGACTCCATGGATGGGGTTTGGAGCCACCTGGTCTAGTTTGAGGTGTCCCTGCCCATGGAGGGAGGTTGGTCTAGATGTTCTTGAAGGTCCTTCCAAGCCAAACCATCCCATGAATGACTTCCAAGTGGGGGTGACATGAGGTCCAACAGGCCCACAAGTTCCTTAGATGTTCTTCCCAACCTTCCTGGTGCAGATCTGGGAATGTTCTTCTCTTCTTCTCCTTCCACCCAGTGATCAACAAATACAAACGCCGACGGTTCCAGAAGACCAAGAACCTCCTGACAGGGGAAACTGAGGCAGATCCTGAGATGATCAAGGTGACTTTTTGGACCCTCCTGGTGGGGAGGAGAAGACCTCATGGTCTTCCTGAGATGGGAAGGGGGTTGAATTTGGCCCCTTTCCTGTTGTCCCCATGGGAAGGGTGGTGGCCCTGGGGGACGTCACCACAGGGTTGTGTTCTCCTTGCAGAGGGCAGAAGATTATGGACCCGTGGAGGTCATTTCCCACTGGCACCCCAACCTGACCATCAACATGGTGGATGACCACACACCCTGGGTCAAGGGCAGTGTCCCACCCCCCCTGGACCAGTGTAAGAGCTGGGGGGGCTTCCAGGGTCTTTGGGGGGGCTTGAGGAGCTCCTGGGGGCTCTCCAGGCTGGGGCTGAGGTGGCTGTGCAGGGGGAGCTGAGGT